CGGCTGTTTCCGTGTTAAGTAGTCACAGTTCGTCACGCTTATTCGTCCGATCCTTAGTTACAAATTGGAGCTTTTGCTTTCTCCCTCATCACCGTACCCCCTAGCATTTGCTCCCTACCAATAAATCCGCTTTTACCTTTGCTTTTGCTCATCGTTCATCTGAGCCACTGCGCCACTTCGTTCAACAATATGTCCTCATGACGTTATTCGACAGGTAAGAATAGGTAAGATCGTACAACTGATCTGTGTAACGTTCAAGATTAATGTTTTCATCAGTGACCGTTACACCCAGCCTGCACCTGCTTTGAAAGATCCAGCGTCGGAAGCAGACTGGGGACCTTTCCGAGGAGTTCTTCGACGTTTTCTTCAGAGTCATCACCGTGCGATGCACAGTTCAGATCAAGTTCAGATCCATCCTATCCATCGGCTTGGTACCGTATAGAAATTCCGACTCCCACGATTTTGGGCTCTCATACGCTCACCATCACCATTGCAGATATCATGACCGCGATTGGTTCGATTCTTACACTCTCGAGAGGTTGCACGACTGACAAACTCGCAGGCTCGATCTTGACCATGATTCTCGGAAATGAGCGGTTGGACGCTGGAAGACTTTCTCAACTTCTGTTGATCTTTGCGAAGATTTCTTTCGAGGTGGCAGAGGTCAGCAAGTTCTCTACTCCCAGCACTTGCTGTCTCGTCCACTGTCAAGGCTCAGCGCCGGTCACGACATTTGGCCTGACTAGCGGCGGCAGTAAAATATTCCAAAAATTCTACTCGAAGGTCAAAAAGTCCCAGCTCGTTATCATATGGAAGATGGGGAACCTACCACGACCCATACCTTACAGTATTTATCCTTTGGGGTCCTGTGCCGAAGTGTTGCCCTTTGTATGGTAAGTCTAACTTGAATTCGTACTGTACAGGCGTTGACAGTTCAATCTACTTATTGAAGGTTATTTCCGCAGCTCAGCCAAAACGAACCTCATATGACGCGGTCTGCGAAGGTTCGCTCGGTAGTGAAAGATTTTGACGAGAAGAAACTGTGGTCTCGAGTCTTGGACGTCGAAGGGAGGAGTTGGGAGAAGATATGGCATAAGTATTGTGGGTGATGTTGCTTGGGCACAGAAGCAAAAGAGGATCAAGAATTCGAAGAGATGGTATGAGTTTTTGAAAGCTGACGAGGTCTATGCTGTTTTCCAGCCTCGATGCCCCAATTGTACCGGGCTCTGCGGCAAAGTCAACGCGTAAATAGAGGATCTTGCCAGCACGATGATAGCTTCTATCAAGAAGTATCGTCGTAGATGGGTATTGCTTAGGGTCTTGAAAGCTGTAAGCATGATGTTCGGACCTTATATCATATTGAAGACCTTCCGCTTTCTCTCGCAACATGATACTGTAATTCACGATGTAGCGGCTAATGTATAGTTGATGATAAAGTAGTCAGCATTCCCAGCTGTTGACGGATGAGATCCAGACATAAGTATCTGAATTGCTTGACCGCTCCTGAGTCTCCCTCAGCGATTTCCCAGTTCTGCAACAAGGCTTCGACCGTCTCGTAGCGATCCGAATAGATGAACTCCTTGTCTGCAATGAGATACTTGTAAAACCGACTGGAAACCGATGGGCTCGTAAAGGGAATTAGTTTCGTGCATGATCAGCTGAACATGCGAGAAGACGAGATTGAACTTTCGGTCCAAAAAGATTTCAGTTGTTGAGCAGATGCCGTCCTTTGTCGTTCCAGCTCCACCAGTCGGTTTTCCATGCGACAGGAACAAGTTATGGAGGAGGCTCGATTGGGAGAGGAATAGTATCTTGTAACACTTGATTATTGAGCTGGAATGGCAATGAAAAGTGGAATATAAGGAGAATTGGAGTTCACGTACATAGCTGCGTAGAGCCCGGTCAGAGATCCTGTCGCAGAACGGGATCTCTTCGGCATTGTCCGACGGCGTTGAATCTGGTGTCAGTCCTTCAACTTTCACCTTGAGCCGCGTGTTAATGAATGAGAAGAAGAAAAACAGAATGACCCAGGTGCCTCATTGGTCCGCAAAGAATAGTCGAGTTCATGTCGAAAGTTTCATGGGTCACGGTGACGATCGATCATTATTGCCGAGCCTGTACTCGCTCTTCTACGAGTCGGATTTCAAGATTTCAAGATACATTATATTGCGAACCAGTAACCAAAGACCTGCAAAGACATTAGCAACATCTACTAGACGTCCAACAAAATGACGTACATTCGATAGCAAGCCAATTCCAGTGTTAGTCGAAAGCTGAAGCCACTTCCTGACTGCACCTGGACCTCTTCGAGGGAATTCGAGTCGTACATTATAAGGTGAACGTCGCGGAAGACGAGATTGAACTTTCCCTCCAAATAGATTTCGGTGGTTGAGCGACTGGCTATATCATGAAGGTCGTCATTCTCGTTCCAAAAGACCCAGTCAGGTTTCCATCCTGGAGGAAGAAGTCGACGAGGAGGTTTGATTGAGCGAGAAACCGTGTCACGGAAGACTTGCTCGTCGAGCTGCGATATAAATGAGCCAGGACACAAGGAGAAGTAGATTCACATACAAAGGAGCGAAGAGCTGATTCAGGGATCCTGTCGCATAACGGAATGCCTTCGATATTTTCAGGAGATACAGCCTAGAACCATGTGAGCATGGCGAAAAAGGTTTTGTGATAAGCTCACCTCTTTGTTACGGGTAGAGCTGGACTGAATCATTCCTCTACTCTGAATTCAAGATATTGAACCCACGTTTGAAGGAGAAATCGCGCTTTCGCTGGTCGTGTCCAATATCTGCTGTTGAACCGAAGATATGAGCAACTCCAGCACAAGAAGACAAAGAAACCCACATTGAAATTGACATGATTCAATGCAAGGTCTGACCCGGAAGCGACTCTTAGGGCTTTTGCATCCATCACGGGCGAAGGAGAGAAAGGCAGAGGGGTTGAATCGAACGAACCGTCACGTGGAGCTTGATTCGGCTGGACTTGGATTGTCTTGCCCTTTAGAGACCAACACAAGATGCTGTATCTGATGTTACGGGATAGTTTGATTGTCCTGCCATTGCATGTGGAGCGGGAATGTTGTACAGCTTTGTGATGAACAGCGGTAATGACAATGCCGTTTTGCTTGCCTCGAACGATATGACCGAGAAAACAGAGGCGATTGGGACCGACCGCAAGGAATGGTATCCACCTCGTCTGACGAGAGCTCAGCTGGTAGACCAGAATCAAGTCTGCATCGCAAAGACTCTACTTTACGACACCCGCGGTGAACCCGTATTGGTCGAATGAATCAATTGCCTCTCCAGGGTTCAATGGGGCTGTCGTGACGATAGTTCATCATCTGTAAAAGCCTTTAAATTATATAAACCAGACGACATGTAGAAGTAGGAAATCGAATAAGGAGGAAAAAGTATACACAACGTTGAAGATGAGCAGGTCCCGACAGCAAAGGTCCGAGCGATAACACTGTCAAGAGAATTAATACTAGAAAATAGAAAGGATTATCACTCACTCAAAGCAACGAATCCATCTTTGAAACAATCTCCAAAACTCCTCCAACCAGCTCAAAGCCCACGTCTTCTTCGCCCATAGCCTCTTTCCGGACCTCTTGCACAAGCCCTAAAACGCTTTCCCTTCCGTTGGCTTCTGAGCTTCCCATTGCAATTCTCGAACCTTGCCGTCTTCGAGATGATGAAGGATTGGCTGAACCAGTAACGCTCCCAAAAGGCCAGCAAGCAAATTCCGCAAGGATATCGTCACAGCGCTGGAATGCTGCTTCTCTTTCTTCATATTGTAATCGAACAAATGCATTGTCCAAGACGCTGGCAGCATACGCGGTGCAAACCAGGCAAACCGCCCGTAAAGCCCGACATTGTGTCCCTTCTTTATCTAGAGCAGTAGGCGGAATTGTCGATGTCGTTGCAGCAAGAAGGGACACGACTCGTGTGATGACCGACTCTTTTATCCGGACATCGGCAACAGGATGTGTTGCCATGTCGAACAGCAAAAAGTTGCGCTTCTCGGTTCGCAGTACGCCCTTGTCCACGAGACCTTTTGCCAGTCGTTCGCGGACCTGCTTGAGCTGGAAACCGATTTTCATTACATTCCATGTTTCGCCTGAAGAAAAAGTTGAGCTAGCGCTTAAAGCTGTGGAGGAGGACGCACCGCTTAGCAGGTCAATCCAGCTGTTGATTGAGAGCTTTTCAATCAGGTCTTGGGCTTTCATCATCTTTAACGCTTCGTCCAGTATTGTTTCCCCTGTCTGACGCTCGTCAATGACCTCGACAAGCCGCTCCGGTAATGGCAGGCGTTTTCGATTTGGATCTCGGACCAGAGCAATGCGTCTCCGCAATGATAGCTCGATGAGAATACATCCTCGAAGGACATATGAGATGTTGTCGTTCCAGAAGGAAAGATAACCCTAGAAAAGAAACCTCTAGCTCGAGTTGACATGAACACAGTGGGCTGACCTGTTTATCCTTGATTCCGAGCAATAAGAGCTCCTCCATTATGGTTAATTTGGGCATCTTGCCTCCAGTTTTTGCTTCCTCGTCGGCATCTTCGAGGTCTCGTGGATCGTATGCTATTTTGCTGCCGCCTTCGAAAGCTGAGCCAGCATGATGCGAGATGGGCGGTGTGCTGGTGCCATTTCCATTGTAGGACTTGGGTTTATCTTCTGTTGGTGATGATGAGCCGCTTGCAGCGACGCGGCGACGAGCCAGGCCAGTCGAATTCATGGCAGATGATTCGAGGGGAAGTATTGCGGTTTATTGTCTAAAGGGGACTTGATGAGTAACCAGAACAGGGTAATAGGGCTGCTTGCGCAGCAGTTTCACTGACCGTCTTCTAGTGAATCTGGTGGAACGTCAATCAGGAGGGCATTCTAAGAGGGCAAGGCGCAAACGGCAACCCGCAGGGTGACCGTCACGCGGGTGAGGTGGTGGCTGTGCTAGGTGACTCGCTCAGTATTGGGCTAGGTGCATCTTTTGTATACACCAATGGTGAAGCGGTTATCATGCTTGCCTTCCATTCATAACGGTCTACTGGGCTAGCAAGCGGCAGGGGTTCGACTCCCCTTTGGTGTATTATTTTGTAGAACTTCGTGCTCAGCAGTCTTTCCAACTTTGGAAACTCTTATTCCCGCCCGGCTAAAAGCATTCGGGGGAGCAATTTTATTTTGACACACGAGGGTTCAGTTCCGCAGTCAAGTCGGCCATCGGGCCGCTCCGAGCCTCGAGGACCTCGTTACATAGGATCAGTTTAGTCCATCACCATTCCGAGCCACGAGTCTCGTCATCGAGTTGCTTTTCGAGTCTTCAGTTTGTTTGTTCTGATACGGAAACAAGTCGCATCGAAACTGCAGTACTGTATACTAACGTCGGCAAACATGGACTGTAAATTGAGACTTATAGGCTTCAAGTTTGTGGCCTGAATCAAGGACACGGGTTGTAGATAACTGCGGCGCAGTTAACCATGGGGCGAGACCAATACATGCGTACTTGTTCAATACCAACCCGGTTATTCCTTAAATTACCGTTGAACTCCTCGAGTGCCAAGCTTTACAGCATGGGTAGATCTGGTTACAGTTGAGTGTAGAACCAATCGGTCTATGTTGGATGTCTTTGGCCTTTGGATATTCCATTGTCCAATCTCATTGTTTGGTCAGTGTTCAACGGCACAAGTGTAGTATTCTCGAGTCCCAAAGTCGGAGTCGTCTGGTGGCGCAATTGGCTGGTATAACTGCGGCGCAGCTACATCAGTAAAATGCCGCAGTAGATGTAGTTATGAATATAATGGGTGAGTATCCAAGACAATTCTCGGCTTTGAAAATATTGCGGTATTCCTTTCGCGGTAACACTAGCTTTCGATGATGAAATTGACGATCGTTCGGTCATCAGAATGTGGCGCAGCAATCTAGATCGGTAAATATCTTCATATAAGCCTATAATGTATCTAATAAAATAGTACTACTTGAGTACATTGATGCAAGACTTTCCCCGTTGTAACCAGTTACATCTTGAAACTACCACAAAAGCTTTTGGTCTTCACTTCTCTTTCTATAGAAACTTTTTGCCTTGGACCTTCAGGAAGACAGAACCGGTCAAGGTCGTGAACCAGGTGATAGCTGTCACTTCCGGTCAGTCTAATGAAGAGCATCGCATCCAGATTTTGACGTACCCTCGGTGATTGAGGTGGTATATCCTCCTCGTGCCAACTTGCTCTGAGGGCGCGCTGTTGCTCCTCATTGGGAACATGCAACGGATCATCGAGTTGCTTGAGATAGAACTTACAGATAACTTTTTGCTCCACCAGGCCTTGCACCAGACTAAGATGGATCAATGCATGGATGCGTAAATAATGCTCGAGCAGCCTCAATTGCTGTCCTCTTCATTTGTGCATGTCCCGACTCGAGTGATAAGATACCAACATTCCAGTGTTGATGCTCGCGGGTCTTGACTCGGTCCAAGCTCTCCGTTAGACACTGGATGGACAAAGTAACGAAACTTGCAGGTTGTCGAGTCAACCTCATGCACCGATGGCATCTTGAAATAACCACAAAGATAACATCTTTGAAGGCAAAGCATTCTGTTCTATTAATGTATGTAATTATTGGTATAAATTTCAGCAACCCTGATAGGGACATACCGACGAGGATACCGTTGGACTTTGGTGGTCACCGGTCAAGATGGATGTCTTCTGCGTGCCAAGTCACCGTGAGGATTCCCCGCTCGTCCTCAGAGGGAACTCGCGATGGATCCTCTATTTGCTGGAGGTATAAGTTGCACAGAACCATTTCCCCTGCCATACCTTGCAAATGACCAAAGTGATTCAATGCGTCTGTAAAGGATGTTCGAGCGTCATTGATCACTGCCTTCCTCATCTGTGCACACCCTAGCTCAAGTGATACTATTCGACATCCTAGTGAGTCCCGTATGCCTTGGCTCGGCCCAAACCCTCCTTTAGCCACTTGATGGCTTGATCGTACTGATCTTTAAGTTTTAGAATGTAGATCTGGCCATACAAGCGCTTCCGGCTTCTCTCATTTCACAATCATCTCATTCAATTCGCTGATCGGTACAGTCCAAGTTATGCGTCTGGATAGCCTGGAGATCATCAATGAAAATCAGAGTTATCCTAGCTATCTTAAACAGGACCTCGTATTGCGTAGCACGGGCAAAAGGTGATCGTCGAGATGGGCGCGGATTAGTGCCGATCCACGAGTCCCGAATTAGACCCCGGTTGTCTTTGGTTAGGTTTTGCGCTGAGTACAATGAGATATGATATAGGCAAATGACAGAAGTTTCAAAAATATCATATTGTTTAATCTAAGTAGACTTCTCCGAGAACCTGACCTCCAGTCTGCCGGCTTTTCTCAGCTCTTCGTCGCTAGGGTCCTCTACACGACCAATCGCTTGCTGAATCTCTGGATGGTCCCGCAATAGCCAAATTATCTGCAAGATCCCTGTAGACTCTACTTTTATCTCGTTTTTGTGTGATATCGCAGGCATGATCACGGCAAGAAGAACCAGAGATGCCAGAAGACCAATGTACACTTGCCTCATGTTGATCTACGGTGTTCGGGTGAGTTTCAATCGAATGAAGAGCAATGAAAACGTACACAGAGTCGTGAAACAGTGTTGAGATCGTTTACCAGCGACTTGCGCTTGACCTGGATCTTTTCAATGGGTTTGTCGCCCACTAGATCCTCCACGAATTTGTTAGCAAACTTTTGATTTGAACCCCAAGCCTCTTTGGTTTTGTCAGGACAAGGATCACGAGCGTGAGGATGTACATACCAACCCAGACTCCAATAGCCAACATCCTGGATAAAGCGTTTTCGAGGTCGTGGAGGGCAATTACATTTGGTGAGAGGGTATCGTTGAAGATAATGTCGGGATAAAGATCCAGACTCTCCATGAGGAATCTTGAATCTCAGACATCAGAGTTGGGTACGAACTCGGAGAACCATGACCTTACTGATCGGTTTCTAACAAAGGTTTGCAGATGTTATTCTGCACGTTGAATGGACTTTGCGAGCAGGGAGCAGCGAGAAAATCGGCCATAGGCGATAAGAATCCGAGAGTGAGAAAAACTCCGAGCTATGACGGCTGAGTGAGTGTTCGATCGTGTTCAGATTCGAGCTATATACCCCTCCTATCAAGTTGTCATTTGGATCTGAAATGTTCAAAGGCTGTCGACGTTCAACTGGAAATGACGATATTTTGGAGGAGACTTTCTCGGTTGGCGAACTGACATTAAGTAGTGCATGTGTATGTGATGTGATTGTGGCGTCCATAGAATCTAGCGTTAGATTGCATCCTAGAACAGTCACTGCGGGTATCGAGACCTGAGATAGCGATCCGTTAGCGATCATGTCGTCTGCACAATGAGTCAATATTTTGGAGTGAGAGCAACATGAATAATAATCCTTACAGCTGTAAGTCGGATTGACGGCGATTGTAGATGCTGGTTGGCCGGTAGAGTCGTGAATCTGCGTGGTAGATAATATAATGATGGTACCAGGCATTGAAAAGTCGGACTTTGAACGGTCAGTAAGTCAAATCTCCTTCAAACCGACAACTCACTGATGGGATACCGTGCACAGACATCGAATCGCGTGCTGAAATGATTTGAGTATGACTCAAATACTATGGAAAGAAATCTCTTACACAAAAGAGACGGGATTTGAATGACGGCTTCCGGAAAGAGGTCGAAAGTCATGTTGAGATTCCCTTTGATCGCGCTGTCTCCATTGATTTTTCCCGAGAGCGTCCCGCATGTTACGTTGAAGTAAGTTCCATTAACGGTGAAAGATTCGGCGAGGAATTTGCTCGTATCATCCACAGGTAAGTCGTAGATCATGCCTGTTTTGTTGGCGAGTCCTGTGAAGTTCAACCCCGACAAGGCAGCCAGAGTCATGAGAGACGTCGGGCCTCTAGAAATTTTCAATATGAAACGTAGATCCAAAGCCACCTCAACATACGTTAGGAAATTCGCCGTTGTATTCTGAGAGAAGTCAGGGATACCTTGGGTTGTGAGTGTCGTCGAGACTGTCACGTTCACTGGTTGAAATGACAGAACAGCGGGGCTAACAGACTGAAGACCCGTCATGCCTATGAGATAAGCAATGGTAAGGATCGTGGCTTTGAAAGATGGTCCTTTTTGTAACAGGCCAGCAAGGGCGTCAGGTAGACCTGCCCATGCTGCCGCTGAGTCGTGCTTTTCTGTGAGTGTTCCACGACGATGAAGCTGTCGACGAAGGGCCATTCCAGTTGCTGCCGATTGCATGTATCCAGAATAGATCTTTGAACGGGGTCAAACGCGCCAGATGATCGAAGATTAAAGTTTTCGTACAGTTACGAAAGCTGACAATACTGTGGTCAAGGTTGAAGATAGATAAACGCTTTGCTCCAAACTGACGGCTGGGACAATTCCAAGGATTCGGATACCTGACGCCACTTCTGTGTTGTGCGAGAAGGCTAGAAGCATGAAGAGTATAACCGGAATGAAATGGAGCGCAAATGTTGTCCATCTCGCTGCCTCCAAGAGTCTATGCTTGTTTCGCCGAAACCACTCATTCTGACGACTGGTATTCCCTCTTCCCTCTATATCACTCTGAACTTCCAGCTTCGAACTTGAGTTGAATTGAGAGTGGGGCGGCGTCGTTAGAGGAAATTCCTCGACTCGACGTAATGGAGAAAATACGGACATGGTGGGTAAACAAGGGACAGTTCAGTTTAATTTCTTCGAGTCTTTTTGTGGGGCCAAGATTGATTATCTTGAGATCGAACGATCGGAGCGGCGGTCCCTAACTGGTCCCTAAGGCTCCCTAAGGCTGTGCGAGAACATTCAAACAGTCACCGATTAGCATATGCTGATGTTGCGACTGAAAATGTGTTTGGTGAACACAGAGATGGATAGCCAGTCTGTTTATACCTGCTAATAGTAATGAGCCCTCGAAAATTTGTAAATTCGATGGAGTGCTTGAGTATCTGCGCTCCTTTCTCCTTGGTCTTTCTTCTTTCCGGTCCAGTGCCAAGATAAACATGTAAGCTACGGAATCAATCAAATCAGACACAAATCT